TAAAAGCATTGAGAGGAAACCCGAAAGGGAAAGCCTAAAGAAGACAATATCTGCTAGCGGTGAATCTGGATCGTTACGTTTTAGGGTTTCAAACGTCATATTGGATTGTAACTATATTTTCGAGTTAGTCGGGATGTCCATGAAGTGACCATGTTTTAGTTTTTAGAAGTACTTACCAACCATGTTGTTGTTTATTTATCCGATTAATATTAAAATCAAAATAAATAAAATTGGGAAATAAATTAAGAGTTAGAGATTCGAATCTGTTGACCGGTCAAACCCTTCTTTCCCCCTTCGCTTTCTCCTCCTTTTTTTGCCAGGGGGCGATCGACTGTTCGAGCTTGCAGCAGGTAAACGAAACCCTAATCAAACTCGTTTTGAAGCACAAATTTCCTTATCATTTTCCATTTCTTTTGACAATGGCGTTCTCGTTAATGTGCACAGGGCGGAGGATCTGAAACGGAGGTTGAACAATCGGTTCCACGAGCTTCAAGACGAGATTAGAATCGCGGAGGTATGGATTGCATAGGAATTTGAGTATTCGATGATTTGATCTTCTTTTGCTCTTTGATTTTAGACGCGATTTTCGAATTTCCGATGAGTTTTGAGTTTCGATGTGATATGAACAAAATTAGAGTTTCTCGTGTTGAATTGTTGAAATTTTCGACTGAGTTGTTTCTGGAATCTTGATTATCTTTTTGACTAGATAAAGAAAAAAGCCATATGGATGGGATATCACGAGATATAAATTCTTCAAAGGATTGATTAGCTCGCTTTTGATTTGTTCACTGTTTTCTTGCTTGCTTTGTTCTTCTGCAAGTTTATTTTCTTCCCCAGCTTTTTACTTTTTGGTGGTATTTGGGAGACTTTAGTTGGTGAAGCGATTAATCAATACTTTAACCTTGTGTTTCCTACAATTTTCCTTGCAACTCTGTTTATTAGGAGCTTTGTTTATGGGGAATTTTCAAGATCACTTTTGGTTATGTAATCAAATACCATGAGAATTTTTGTAAACTGCTTTTTATTGGCCAAACACATACTTTTGGTTTTTGTAAAAGTCATTGTGAACTCGCTAGCTATAGTGAGATCTCACGTCGGTGGGAGAGGAGAACAAAACATTCTTTATAAGGGTGTGGAAACCTCTCCTTGGCAGACGCGTTTTAAAAACCTTGAGAGAAAGCCCGAAAGGAAAAGCTTAAAGATGACAATATCTGCTAGTAGTGGGTTTGGCCTATTAGCTAAGCGCCGGGCGATGTGCCAGTGAGGAGGCTAAGCCTGAAAGGGGGTGGACACAAGGTGGTGTGCCAACAAGGACGTTGGGCCTCGAATGGGGGTAGATTTGGGGATCCCACATCGATTGGAGAAGGGAACAAGTGCTAGCGAGGACGCTAGACCTTGAGGGGTGGATTGTGAGATCCCACATTGGTCGAGGAGGTGAACGAAACATTCTTTATAATAAGGGTGTGGAAACCTCTACCAAGCAAACGCGTTTTAAAAACCTTGAGGGGGAGTCTGAAAAAGAAAGCACAAAGAGGACAATATCTACTAGCCGTGGGCTTGAGTTGTTACAACTACTTTCCTTGGGAAACAAACGATAATCTAGAGGATGCGAGTAATGAGTTGCTTCTCAGTGACGAGGAGGCTATTCATTTCCATATTGGGGAAGTTTTTGCCCATGCGGGTTGGAAGAAATGAAAGAGGAGAATATTACGAACGTGGCCGAGATGAGATGGCTGAATCAAAGAGAATTCTGTACAGGAAGTTCAAAGAGTCCATCAATGTAGAAGATGATTGATACAGATAAGTTTTTCTGAAGCTGTTTTGATAGTATGTATGTTCTTTGGATCTTGATGTCATATTCTCTCATATGATCCATGTAGTCTTTGGAATCCTCTGGATTTTGATTTGAGAAAATGACCTTATAGAAGGTTGATAGTGTTTACTCGATATCAATAGATGTAACAACCCAAGTCTAAGTCTGTAACGACTCAGATCCACCGTCAGCAGATATTGTCCTCTTTGAGCTTTTCCTTTCGAGCTTTCCCTTAAGGCTTTAAAACGCGTCTGCCAGGGGAAGGTTTCCACACCCTTATAAATGGTAGTTTGTTCTCCTCCCCAACCAATGTGGGACATCAAAGTCCAAGCCCACCGCTAGCAGATATTATTCTCTCTGAGTTTCCCCCTCAAAGTTTTTAAAACGCGTCTACTAGGGAGAAGTTTCCACACCCTTATAAAGAATGGTTTGTTTTCCTCTCAAATTGACTTGGGATCTCCTAGAGGGCAAGCAACCCATAGAAGAAGAAAAAAGAAACCCAACGAACCTAACCAGCAAAGTGATGTTGAACCCTGTCGACTTCATTTTTAACTACTATTTAGTTTGTTTCAGTTTGATCTCTCTAATGTATGACAACGAACCGATAAGTTCGATTCCTTTGTTGATGACAAAGCAAACCAAAACAATGGGTGGCCACAGCCAATCAATAGGAAAAACGAATGTAAAACCGAACTAAACTCAATCGGCTCAGTTCGGCTCAATATCTTAGAAAACAGAACTGTACCCAGACCAACTTACATCCAAAGGCTGTATAAATCAAGGTTAGATGTCTTAGTCCTAACCCTGAAAATAGTGCAAATACATCTGTTTAGAAACAGATTGTTGTTGTTATGCCATTAGGGAGCTGTGTTAGTGATGGCAGCATTTGGATAATGAAAAAGGGGAATATGCAACAAAAGCACAGTTGATGATCCCCCACGTGTTATCGAATAAAAGAATTTTTATTTTAGACAGAAATAATCTTCGAATAGATATTCCCTCCCGGATGTGGATGTTTCATCTAAAGTCATTAAGTGGTTTGAAACTTGTTGTGTGGGATAAGATACTTAACTTGGTGTTTAAGAAGTTACGTTTTTGAAACTAACAAACTCTATTATACGGCTCACCAACGTCACATACCTCTAATGGTAGGTTCGAAGAAAGAACTTTGTGGGTCCGAGACATTTTTGATACATGATTATTTTTCTGTATTTGTTTGATGAGAAATGATTGTTCGACCTATCCAAACTACTTGGAAAACTACACAACTCACCTTTAAATATAACATTTAAAACAATCACTCGTGAACTTTTAGTTTGATCAATCATACGTCTGAACTTTTAGTTTGATCAATCATACGTCTGAACTTTTAGTTTGATCAATCATACGTCTGAACTTTTAGTTTGATCAATCATACGTCTGAACTTTTAGTTTGATCAATCATACGTCTGAACTTTTAGTTTAATCAATCATACGTCAAAGTTTGAGGGGGTGTTGCAATTAACCACCCTATGAAAAAGGGTAAAATTGTCATTTAGAAGAAAGAAAGGACATTTTTGGAAGAGCTCACCAAGGAGAGAAACCTTAATAATGGGGGTTGGGAAAAAGAGTGCTGACGTTAAAATACCCTCATGATGACGTCATTATTTCAAATGGAAGTATATAATTAAGTTAAAATACAACTTTCATCAGATTTTATTACTAGTTTCTGTGCTTTTTTAAATGATAAATTTTAGTTATATACTTTCCGTAACATTTTAAATTAGAGAATATATTAATTGTAAAATAATATTAATAATTTCATGTAAAAACATATTTTTAAATTAACAGAAAGAAAACTGTTAATTTTTTTTTAAAAAAAAATTAACAATAACTAACAATAAAATGAAAACAAAATTATAAAACTAAGTTTCTATTTTTTAAAGAAAATAATTTAATTTTTAATAAAAATTTAAAGACAAAAAAGTAATTTTGGTAATTAGTCGGACTTTTTAAAGTGAAAATAAAAAATAATAATGGGAGGAACTATATGAACTTAATTTTAAAAAAAATTAAATAATTAGATTTAATGGGTCATAACTACGTGAATTTATTAAATGAAAATAAAAAAACCCAAATGTCTGGGAGATGAGGAAATTTTAGCTTAAGTTTTGAACCTGAAAGTATGAATCCAGGATTCCTCTAGCTAACCCTAAATCATTCGAGAGGTTGTAATGTTAGCTAATTGAGCTTTAAAATTGCATATATTCTACTTTCTACTTTGGTATTTTGTGCCCGATTCTGATTTAGGAAAGGGTCCTTATCTCTCTCGAAACCGATGGAGCAGAGTTAACTTTCTACTTTGGGATTTTGAGCTCGATTCTGGTTTGGAAAAGCGTCCTTATCTCTCTCGAAACTAGTGGATATCCGACAAGAGTTAATTTTCTACTTTCTACTTTGGAATTTTAGACTGGTTTAGGAAAGAGTCACTATCTCTCTCGAAACCAGTGGAGATCTGAAAAGAGTTAAATTCTACTTTCTACTTAGCCTTTTGGGCTCGCTTCTACTTTAGGGAAGGGTCTCTATCTCTCTAAAAAAACTAGTGGAGATCCGAAAAGAGCTAACTTTCTACTTTCTACTTTGGGATTTTGAGCCCAATTCAACTTTAGGAAATGGTCGTTATCTCTCTCGAAACTAGTGGAGATCCAAAAAGAGTTAATTTCTACTTTCCACTTGGCATTTTGGGCTCGATTCTGGTTTAGGGAAGGATCCCTGTCTCTCTCAAAAACTAGTGGAGATCCAAAAAGAGTTAACTTTCTACTTTCTACTTACTACTTTAGCATTTTAGGTCGAATTCTAGTTTAGGAAAGGGTCTTTATCTCTCTCGAAACTAGTGGAGATCGACTATGACGATTGAAGGCTATTATTAGCCTTCAAATAGCACGACTCGTACCACAAAAGAAAGGGCCACTCTTTAACGCTAGAAGCTATGCTATTGTCGTTTAGTTTAGCACCGTATTACAATGAAGGAGCATGGTAACTCCAAGAGTAGAGGTACGTACTCGTATATGATTTGGTTGCCTACTAACTTTGTTTTAAGAGATTCATCAATGGGACCGACAGTTTTGTATCGAGATACGTATCATATATCCAAGAGTAGAGGTATGTATCATATATAGAACACTATCAAATCAAGCCACTGAAATCATAATCACAAATTCAGAGAAGATCAAATCAAACGATGCAAGCACAAGATTATAGAACAAAGGCAAATCATAGCTCCTCCTGCTAAATGTTCAAGTTTGCGAGGTGAGCCACCGTTGATCATTGAATAATTTACATATACGTATGAAAAAAACAGGCAAAAGCATGAAGAACTCTTCCACCAAATTCAAGAAACCCCTGCATCCCAAATATACAAATCAAACCATGGAAATTAAATACCAGGATCATCTAATCCTAGCTCAAGAATCTCTAATGTCACAACAATCCAAGCCAGGAAGAACAGCAATTTGACATACCAGTATCATCTAATCCTAGCTCAAGAATCTCTAATGTCACAACAATCCCAGCTAGGAAGAACAGCAATTTGACATAAACCCTACAAATGCATTGACTATGCATCTTGAATAAACCAGATTCCAATTGACAAGATGAATCCCAGCAAGCAAGCAATAAGGAATTCAATCCAACAATCCCATCAAGGATCTCTAATGTCAAAACAATCCAAGCCAGGAAGAACAGCAATTTGACATAAACCCTGTAAATGCATTGACTATGCATCTTGAATAAACCAGATTCCAATTGACAAGATGAATCCCAGCAAGCAAGCAATAAGGAATTCAATCCAACAATCCCATCAAGGATCTCTAATGTCAAAACAATCCAAGCCAGGAAGAACAGCAATTTGACATAAACCCTGTAAATGCATTGACTATGCATCTTGAATAAACCAGATTCCAATTGACAAGATGAATCCAAGCAAGCAAGCAATAAGGAATTCAATCCAACAATCCCAGCCAGGAAGAACAGCAATTTGACATAAACCCTACAAATGCATTGACTATGCATCTTGAATAAACCAGATTCCAATTGACATGATGAATCCAAGCAAGCAAGCAATAAGGAATTCAATCCAATTTTCATTGAAGTTCGAGAAATTGGGACGTACCCATCAAATCCGAGTGTAGCCTCGTTGTTGTTGTTGTTGCTGATTTCCCGCAGCCGACAGCAATCCCCCTTGTGTAGCAGTCTCCAAATCGAGAAATTGATCCGCCGTACTCCGAAACGCCGCGTGCAACGCAACAACGACGGTCCCTGTTGTTAGGGCTCCCAAAACATTCGATCCGACATCAGTAGAAACAAGAGCGATGATTGTAAAAATGCTCAAAACCCCCAAAACAACTTTATCATCGAACGTTTGGTCGAAGAGAACGAGAGGCTGATCGCGGAGGAAGTAGAAGAACAACCAAGCAACGAAGACGAGCAAGATAACGAAGAACGAAGTCGGGTGCCAGAATAAGCTGAAGAAGACGATGACGAGCATCACCATGGCGTAATTGACATGAAAGTAGTTCACGTTCTGGCGGATTCTCGCCATAGCGTCATCGGAGCTTAAAGGGAGAGAGAAGGCGGAGAAATCGAGGAGCTCTCGCCATGGCCGCTGTTTGGCGATTAGGGATTGCGTGGTAGTTTTAGCGTGTTCGAGAAAGGAGGAACTGGAGGGGAAAGATGGAGGAGCTTCGCCGGAAGTGGTGGGGAATGTGGCGGCGGGCGGAGAGGGCACGGTGCCGTAGACGGCGGCGAATTTGACCCGTGACATTGAAGGAAAATCGAGGGTTTTAGAGTGAAATTTGCACGGATCTAAGGGTTTTTCGGGGGGAGAATTTGTTGGGGCGGAAGGAAAAATGGGTTTTAGCTTTCTGGGGAAGAAATTGGGCGTTGGATCTGAAGAATGGAGCGATGGAAATGGAGTTCTGTTCTGTTTCTCAATCAGTTTACTTCTTTTGCAGAGACTATTCCGAAGAAGAAGACGGGGAATATATATATATATATATATATATATAGAAAATTTCTTAATTTTGTTAAATAATAATTGGTTGAAAAACTGTTTTTTATTTCTAATTTTTATAACTAATTTAACCTTAAAATATTTTGTCAAAATTAAATATTCATTTTTATTAATTATCTATTTAGACTATGTTAATAATAATAATAATAACTAAATATTTGCATATTAAGTTAAATTAAGATTCAATTTCTAAATTCTGTAGAATTAAGTTTGAAGATTTGAATTATGTTTATTTCAACCAATTTTTGTTTTAATTTTTATTTTAAAAAAATTAATAATACATGTTATTCACTTCATCGTGAAAAAATAATAAATATGTCGATAAAAAAATAATTTTATTGAATTATTACGGAGTGACAAAATTTCTATATTTTCATTTTATTTTTTAAAATTAATATTTTTCAGGCGCTTTCACCATCTTCTAATCCAAAATGGCAAATGGCCGGAGAAATGAAAGGGTCGAAATGGCCAAGCGGAGAGACGAAAGGTTCCAACCCATAATAACAAATGACTGGAGAGAGGAAAGGTTCCTTATTTTAAGGTACCCCGAAAACAGATTCAGTGGAGACGAGGTGGAGCCTGTAGCTCATAGGATTAGAGCAGCCCTCCCTGTCTCGGGATAATCAAAACATTATTTAATAGAAAAAACATTGAGGGGTACTAATATATATTTTTATAAAATTTTAAAAACATATTCACCATAATTTTTTTAGTTATCATAATTGTTTAACCAAATTAAATATATAAAAAATGACTTCGAAAAGCTTTTAAAACTTTATGATTAAAATAGAATATTTGTTTCATTAATTTAGCATCCTTAAGCTGTCCTATGAAAATAAATAAATAAATAAATATTAAGAAGTGAGAACTAACACAGTAATAAAGAGAGCGGTCGATTTTAAGTTATGTAAGAACTAAGAACTGATACAGTAATGATAAGAAGTGAGAAATGATACAGTAAATAGAATGATAAAAAAAGAGCAGTCGGTTTTAAGTGATGATAAAAACTGAGAACTGATACAGTACTAATAAGAAGTGAGAACTAATACAGTAAATAAAATAATAAAAAGAGAGCGGTCGACTTTAAGCTTTAAGTTATGTAAGAAGCGAAAACTAATACAGTAATGATAAGATGTGAGAACTGATACAGTAAATAGGATGATAAAAAGAAAGCGGTCGGTTCTAAGTTATGATAAGAAGTGAGAACTGATACAGTAAATAATATGATAAAAAGAGAGAGGTCGGTTTTAAGTTATGATAAGAATTGAGAACTGATACAGTAACAATAAGAACTGAGAATTGATAGAATGATAAAAATAGAGTCGTCGGTTTTAAGTTATTCATTCTAAAGAGGGTTTTCTCACCATGAATGCCACACCTCAACTTCTCTATCAAAATCTAACACCTCGACAAACCCCAAAAAAGACATAAATTACAGGGAAGAAAATTGGATACTCACCACCACCAAGATCCGATCATCTCTAGAATTAGCCATAGATGCTGTGGATTATGATTTTTGTTTATCTGTGCCATGAAACTTTCTACCAGCTTCAACTGCTTCCCTGCAAAGAAAACGAATATATTGGGATGGATTATAAAGCGTAACACCTCGAAAACTCCTGCGAACACGAGCCTACGTGCTACAATTAAAGCTTCACTACGTCTAAGAGGTTCTAAGAACATCTTCAAACAGATTGGAGGAAGCATATATTAACCCGAAAAGCATATCGATGTTACTATAAGAACTACCAAAAGGAAACTGACTGATTTTACTATAAGAACTACCAAAAGGAAGAGAAGCATAATAGATTCAGGATTAATGAGAACCTGAAAGCATCAACTAGTGCCATATTGTTAGGATCGAGCTGAACGCCCTCGTAGAATGAGTTTGCTGCTTCTTCAAACCTCTGCAATAATGACCAGTGACTTCAATGGCATAATAATAAGAGAGGTCTTCGAATTCAATACTCACGAAATGATTCACTGTAAAACTGAAGACTTGCCTGCAACAAACGTAACGCTGCACCTTCTCGATAGCAAGCTTTCGGCCAATCTGGCTTCAATGCTCTGCAGGCCTTTGCATCTGCTAGGGCATGCTCGGCTTGACCTAACCGTATCCAACAAAGACTTCGGTTGGAAAATAACGTACCATCAGTTGGATCCAGGTCGATCGCCTACAAAATAAAATCGTTATAGTAGTCCAGTAGCATCAGTCATACTTTACAATTGAGTCTCTGCAAACATCTCATAACTTCAATCTATGAAGTAGACACTTCAGTTATTAAAAAAAGCCACACCGTAAGAAGCTTAATTCTATCCAAAAAGATCTAACAACTCCCTCCCAAGCCAGTACGTCATGGGTATCAAATGAAAATTGGTACTACACCTAGCTCGCTAGCATCTATCAATTATTTAAAATAATAATAAATAAATGATAATAAATAATTAAAATAAAAAAGAAGAAGAATGAGAGGTTGGCATTTAATATATCTCTCATTCTTTTTGTGATGTCCCACATTGGTTGTGGAGGAGAACAAACCACCATTTATAAGGTTGTGGAAATGCCTCGAGGGGAAGCTCGAAAGAGAAAGCCTAAAGAGGACAATATCAAAGCTGTTACAACTGGTACCAGAGTCAGACACCGGACGATGTGCCAGCTTTCTCGCTGTTCCCGTAGACATGAGGCGGTGTGCCAGTAAGGACGCTGGACCCCAAAGGGGTGGATTTGGGGGTGGTCCCACATTGATTGGAGGAAAGAAAGAGTGTCAGCGAGGACGCTGGCCCTAGAGGGGGGTGGATTGTGATGTCTCCACATTGGTTGGGGAGGAGAACAAACCACCATTTATAAGGGTGTGGAAACCTTCCCCTAGCAGACCCGTTTTAAAGCCTTGAGGGGAAGCACGAAAAGAAAAGCCCAAAGAGGACAATATCTGTTAGCGGTGGATCTGGGCCGTTGCACTTTTTTAGGTTGGTAGAGACATGTTTCGGTTGGTAGCGAGAGGTTGGCAAGTCTTAAAAACAAGCAGATTGTAGGAGTTCATAAAACAAGCCTGCAATTTTACAAGTGAAATATTCAAAACAGGACACAAACAGGCAAAGATCAACCTGTGTATAGGCATCAACTGCTGTATGAAAATCCTTTGTATTGAAAGCATCATCCCCTCTAGATTTGGCCTCTGCGGCTTTCTTCTTTGCTTCAGGTGACACCTAGTAGTTACGTACCAATTGGCGTTAGACTTAAAAGCAGCAGCCGCAATAAAGAACCGTATTACCACTTGTAAACATCATTTTGGTCAGTGTGCTTCATAAGCAAGTTCTAGATAAGCATTCTCATTCTAAAAGAATTTGACGAAAAAGTTTATTGTTATGGGGAAGAATGAAGTGTACTATTTCATGAAACTACCAGGGACAAAATCAAGCCATTGTGACTAATTTGAATATATTTCAAAGCACCACATAAAGTTTGGTAAATATCCTGTTGACACGTAATTCCAAAACCTCATTACGACACGCATATTTTACATAATGCATAAACATAAATAATTTGCCTTTACATTGGCGTCCTACAAAGTACAACACAATACACAAACTGTCCAATGATTCATCTAAAGGTTTCCATTTAATGCTTAATTCGCTCTAAGGTTCACAGCTGTGAAAGGTTGAACACTTGAACAAACATTCAAACTTCCTTTCCCAACAATGAAATTATAGTTGTCTCTCTCAAAAATAATAACTTTTTTCCCAACCAATATATTTAATGACATGGAAGACAAATTGCAAGTTACCATTTTAATTACCCATAGAATTTTCATCATCATCACTTATCAATCACGTTGGAGATGTTCTATGGATCCCTATGAAAACTTCGGACAGATACATAACCAAAAAATAAGCTGATCAAGAGGGTTATAAACACACCTCGGGCAAATCCTGAACTCGTGATGTGGAGTCTTTATGTATACTAACACCCTCCAGATTTCTGGTCACCTACAAAATTTAGCCCCTTGCAGTTAGGATACGAAGCAGCTATGAGATACAAGAAACAATAAACAAGCAGACGCAAACACTGCAATTGATAGAAAGTAGTTAATACACTCACACTGCTACTCTATTCCAACTTGAAGGGTGAAAGTTGTGTGTTCCCCTCATTTACAGTAATATTCTTATCATTTCGCTCTCCGTTTCAAAGTTCAGATATCTTTACTATTTAATTTTCTGTTAGAGAGTCTAATCTGTGATCCAACAACAAATTATCAAAAATGCATTTTCAGCTATTTCGTTTCGCAGCATTTGGCTCATCTTTCGTATGTGATTCACCTTCTTCCATATATTTCGAATAATTTTCTTGTTCTGATAAAAGTTCTATCTCTGTAAAGAGAGACAAACTACATACCAAGAGATGACTATTCAAGGGATGGGGCAACCTGAAGGTTCATATCGGAGCAGAGACAAACATTAACTGTATATAATTTGATAATGAAGGCAAAGAGCTTTTGAAGACTACAAATGCTGATGGAAAAAATAAAGATATGACAAATAACCCATCTAATAGTTTCGATCTTTACTTGAATAGGATCCGTTCTATAGGTTTTACAAATGTGTCCTTGAGTTCTAAATAACATATCTACTAGTTAGACAGCTAAAATAGACTTACAAGATCATACCTGATCTTTCATGGTTTCATTCTGCATATACTCAAGTATTCCATCAGCGGTCCAATTAGGAATCGTCTTAATTGCTGAAGTCAAGGGAAGAAGAATCTCAACAGCTGCCCGACTACCTCTAGCTGCTGCAACCTGAATTGGCCTTAGCCCATCCTACAATACAACAATAACAATTTTATGGTTGAAAGAGGTTTTCTTTAATTCAAATTTTCATTTTTTGATGGAAAACAAACAACCATGAAAAGCAAACAAAGAAACTATAGAGATCAAAACAGAAATCTACATAGAGCTTTTAG